CCAACACTCCTAAATTATACCTTCCGGTCAAACCGAAAATGCCCAGCTTCCTACAAGTATGATGCCTGCTCTGCTTGCGAACATGCCTTTGCGTTGTTGGATGACCTTCAATTCAGTGGTCAATGATCATCCCGGGTGGCGAGTGAGTGTTTGTCTTTTGACTGATGATTGTAATTAGGAGCCACTGGCTAACTTATTGAGTGGATTCTCCGAACACATGTCCATGATTGTCTTGTTTGACTAGCAAAGCTATCTTCTCCAAAAGTACAAAGTGCAACCGAGACGTCTGACATGGCTGGAGTTGGAGCAACACTTTGGCCAACTCCTATGTCACTGGATGTCGCAAGATTCCGGAGACACAGAGCGGCTGGTAACCCAGTTCGCCGAGAGGGTCCAAAAGCTAGCGGTCAAAAGGAAAGCAAACTCACTTATTGTGAAGTCTCCAAATTTCCCAAACACTGCAACACAAAGTGATCGTTACGCAACCAAAGTAACAAGCAACAACAACGACAGTTAAACTGTTTGTTTGCAAACAACACAAGGATGAGAGTGCCAACCTGACAGCAAAACCGTTGAATACGCCTCCCGCGCGCCCTTTGCGCCTGACTCTCTGAATTCAACGCTACAGAGGCCATCCGCCCGCTCAACAGCTGCACAGCCAGAGTTGTATCCATGGCGCGGGATGGCGCGAGCCCGGCCAGGAGTTTCTGGAGGCCAGCGGGAGTTGGGCCCCTGGATTCGATTTTCATGGCTGTTTGGCACCAAGTGAAGCTGTGCACCAAATCCCAACGTAGGAACTGCATCGAGGTCCTTCCGGATTTACAAAGGGTGCCAAACACGCACACCCAAACTACAGTGCATGCTGCACAGGCTTTGCCACTCGACCCTTTTTCAGTAACCTAGATCTCTCTCCCATGCAGGGTCGATGGTTTCCCGTCGAAAGGGCATTGCAAAGGTAAATCCCTGACCAGGGTTGTCAGGAGTTCACAAGTTTGATTGTAGTGTTGCGACACATTTTTGTTCCCTCGGTTTAAGGCAAACCCGTGGACACAAACAACGTAAACTGGAGAAGTAAAACATATAAGAAAACACAGCAGGACAAAACACCTTCTAGCTTCCTTCTACGCGTGAAGCAAACCAAGTGTCGGAGCCCGAGCTCCAAAGCCGGGCGCCCGTCGGCTGAAAGTCGCCTCCTTTGGGCGGCTCCGATGGGCGCTCTTGAGCCACGCGACAGCACGTTGCAAGCATGTTAGATGCTCACATCTGTGTCCTTCAACTAGTTGCATTCGTTGGTAACCAGCACTTGCAGGTGTTAGGCGCACCCAAATCGGGACAATCAATCATTGTATGCATCAGGCCTGTTGTGAGATATGTAGATACACATACTTGATGACTTGCTTCGCGCTTACTCAGGAGCTAAATGTAACGAAACTCTACACCAGGTCTGCTCATCGGGTGCTTCTCAAGCAAACACCGATTCTTGGCTGGTCACTGGAGTTGCTATGGCAGCCAGAAAACTGCAGTGCAAAATCAAGAGAGCCCGGTCCACTGTCTTGCCAACTTGCCCTACTCCCAAGTGACCAATTCATGAGCAGAACCCCCTTTTGCGTATTTGGGAAACCTAAGTGGCCAAACGGCAGTCCTACATCTTAGGACTGGAGGTTTTCGGCTCAGTTTTCGGTCGCCGGGGAGTCCAAGTAGCTGTTTCATGTGCCCCTGGGTGTTCTATGGGGGGGTCTATCCCTGGAGTTGCCTCTTAGCCCTGTGAGCCGAGGGTAAGGGCCACGCTCCTAGACTCGGACATGCAAAATCGCTGAAACCTGCGGACGAGGGGCGGTGACAGGATCCCCATAATCAAGCCACAAATACCCCGTATGATTTTGCCACACCTTGCCAATGCCGCCCGACTGGCCCGGCTGGCCAGTCCGATTTGTCCGTCCAGAGCAGGGCAGTGAGCAACAGAAACAGCTAAAACTGCGTGGAACGTGTCGAAACCAAGAGCGCTATGGGTAATGCTTTGAAAGGAAACAACCAAACTAATCATCTGGCAGCGTTTCGAGCTTCCAAAACCTGACATCAAGTTCTAACAAAATGCTTGCCCATTTTTGCACATGCGTTGCTTCAATCCGCTTGGCTCTTCTACGAATTGTCTTGAGGCTCCAAACCGATAGAACCACCTCCAGTTTCCAAGTCCCAGGCCACCTGCATGAGCACAGCACCTTGGCCTGCACGGGCCTCGCAGGGCAGAAGCGCCAACACCAGGTCACCAGCTTACAGGCACCCGTATGACTTTCGGATGCCTCAGCCAAGGGTTCGTATGCATGCAGCATATATTTATAGATATATAGATAGAAACATGTATATATGTGTATTGTGCATATCATTTGTTTAGATGTGTAGGCATATCCGTGCCCATCCCGCCAAAGAAGGCTCCAGGTGGTGAGCATTGGATCCCCACTAGTGCGGCTGTAGCGGGCTGGGCCCCTCGGAGTAATATGCATATATATATATATACATGCTTTATGTGTGTTGTTCGTGTTATGCGAGTGGTATGTTTGTTGTGTATGCTATGTGTGCTAAGTGTGTTCTGTATGTTATACATTGGGGGGGTGCCCCCGAGCACTAACAGTTAAATAAAGCCATTTATACATAATACCTCAGCAAAAATGACCACCAGCAAGCCCAAATTGGTTTTGGGTAAGCACGCCCCACCAATTTTAGGTTGCGTATTTGTTTGGTCTATATGATGATGCAGTGGAGAGTGGAGTGGTGTCTTTTCATGCCCAGGCCCAAATACGGTTCTGTCCCTACTGGTTTCTAGTGCTGCGCTTTTGGGTTGTCACTGGACTGTAGGTGCATTAGGCTTTAGGAGACCTAGGAAAAGTTAAAAGCTCTTTCCACTGTCGCTGCAAGTTGAATGCAAGTCGCTAACACTAACACCAAGTTCTGACATCTTGATCTGACAGATAGCGAAATCCAAAGCAAGCAGGAAGTGGCGCAGTCAGCGCGGAGCTGGCCGCTTCGCCCAGAAACACGTTGGAGCGTCGTTTCTTTCAGCTTCTTCCGTTTGTGGGCCTGGTGGAGGAGCCCAAGGTCCTGAAAGACAGGTTCAGGGCCAGGGCCTTTGTGCTCCCCCGACGCCGGAGCAACAACAGCCACCACCACGTTTGCCCTTGCGACCTAGACAGCTCTTTGCAGGCCAGTCTGCTGGCTGGCAGCCCCCACCCTGGCCCGGCCAGGCCAGCTGGCCCCTGGCCCAGCTGGCGCCGAGCTGGCGCTGACTCCGGCCGGCTCCCGCAATTCTGGCCAATTTCGGCAAATTTTCGGACGGATTTTCCAGAGGAAAGCGTAAAACTAGCACAAGAAAAAGCACAAGAAAAAGCACAACAAAAAAGCACCGCAAAACCCCAATTACCCTCCCCAGGACTACTTTTCATCACGGGAAACCAAAAGCGGGAGCACAAAAAAAAACACCGCGAAACCCACAACAAAAAGCACAAAAAAAAGCACAATTGGGAGCACAAAAAAAAGCACCACAATACCCCAATTACCCTCTCCAGGGACCCCGCTACTACTTTTCATCACGGGAAACCACAAGCGGGAGCACAAAAAAAAACACCGCGAAACCCACAAGAAAAAGCACAAAGGACCACCCCAAAACCCCAATTACCCCTTGCCGGGACCCCGCTACTACTTTTCATCACGGGAAACCACAAGCGGGAGCACAAAAAAAAGCACCGCGAAACCCACAAGAAAAAGCAGACAATTATTTTCCTTTCAGACCGCGAAATTCAAATTACTTGCCCCAGGACCCCCCCTCAGGCCTCCCCGGGACACCTTAAAAATAAAAAAAAATGCGTTAGTGCGTTAGTGCGTTAGTGCTGCCCCCCCCCCAAAAAAAAAAACTGCTAGTGCTCCCCGCGACACTCTTGGAACGAATAAAAGAAGGAAGAAGGCACAGACAGAAGGTTGGTGAGAAGGGCAGACGGAGAGGAGGGAGGGGGGAGGGGGTTGCTGTGGGCTGGATGTTTGCGTGAGAGGGTTCTGAAGCTGGCGGGGCTGGGAGGTTTGGGTGAGGGCCGCAGGTAAGAAGGAGGTTTGGGGGGAGGGAGGGCTTGGATGGGTGAGGGCAGCTTGGTTGGCAGGGAGGAGGTTGGGAGCGGAGGCTGAAAGAGAAGGCTGGGAGGGGCTGTGAATGGGAAGGCTCTGGCTTACGCTGGGGAGGAGGTTGATTGGGAGGGGGTGTTGTCGGAAGCAGCAGCGACCAAGCCAAACAGAAAGGAAGGACGGAAAGGTAATGTTGCAACAGCCACGCTGAGCCGTCGTGTTGCGTGTGCCTATTTAACTTTCCCATTGTATCTGGGCTAATAAGTCACAGTCCAAATAGTCTTTGAATCACTTTATTTCAAGGTCCCCGGAGCTATCCCCAAGATGCAGAAGGAGTAATTTAGGTTTCAGACCTGCGCGGGTACCTATTTTTTTGAAAAAAACAAAGTTGCTTGATTTTTGTGGTGCTTTTTTTTGTGCCCCTATTTGTGCTCACTGTTAGTGGTCCGGGGCCACCCCCAAGTTATACATGTCATGTGTGTTCTGTATGTTATGCATGTTGTGTAACTGCAAGCAAAGCTGTGCTCAGAGGGAGAGGGGACAAACGGGCAACCCCTGTGTTAAAAGAGGGACTAATTAACCAGGGTCCGAACAACGAGCCCTGAATGGTAAACTCCCCGTGTTTTGGCAAGCACCTGCCTCAATGGCAGCTGCCGGCAGAAGGCTGGCAACAAGCGCCTCAGCTTTTGTCAAGCCTTGTGACACGTGACACCTCATTCCATGTTCACGAGTCAATATGGTGTCAAGAGCAAAGGTAAGGCTTCCCGGAAGTCTGCGACAATGGACTGCGTCAAGCCAAAAAGGGATTGCTTCTCCTCTTGGCTTCCCTTGAACTACCACCCAAAGAAAGGTACATTCTCAAAAAACAAGATCTCTGCCAGGTGTTCCTTTTT